CTGCTTTCATTAAGTTTCTTAGTGAACTCAAGCTTCTCCATTTCTACATGTTCCAATGCTATTTTTGTGCTCTGTAGTTCATTCTTTAAATTCTCCATTTCATTTATTTCTGTCTGCATCTCACCCATCTTTTCTCTTGCACTAAGAAGTTGTTGCTGCATTTCTTCAAGTTGTTGGCTCTTAAAATATAATTATTAGAATTAATTTTTTGCTTCAGAATTCCTTAGTAAGATTGAAATAATCATTTTGCCAGTCTTGTCTATTTCCCCAAGGTAAACATACAAGTAACATTAAAAAAAAAGAATATTCCAAACAGAGCATCACTAGTTATTATATAATTTTTAATAAGGTAAGGAGAAAATTAACTAGTTAAATATTTAAGTAGAGCAATCAAATAACTCTACTTTCTCATTAAAAATTTTTTGAATAATTTATTTCACTTCCAAAAAGGTCCACTATGAGTACCTAAATAAACCCCGTGGGACCAACTCTGACAGGCGGTAGAGTGCCTTCTTTAAAAAGAATATGAACTAGAAATAAGTGTGTAGTAAACTCAATTAGGTGACAGGGAAATGGATGAGAATTAAAAGAGGAAAAATATTAGGGAAAAACACTCCATAGAAGAAATAAAATGAAAACCTCTAATGAATGTAGTGCTCCCCACCCCAGACCCCGGATTACAAAAAGTTCCCAATGGATTCATTTTTCATTTACATGGGCAAGACAACTGTTACGAAAGCCTCAGTTTCCATACAGACAATATAAGATCATCTTATGTCTATGAAAGAAGTGATTCAGAAAGTTGTAGCCATCTAAGAGAACAAATCAGGATATATGAGAGAAAAACTCTAAATCATGAAGGGCTAATGTACAGACTAAACACTTAACTTCACAGAATGGGAAAGGCTTCCCGTCCTTCCTTAGGCTATTTGCTCAACAAGGCATCAAAATGACGAAGGAGCTTTTGGTAGGATAAAATCCTAGTTCACTAGAACCCCAGGAGCCCTGGGGAACTGCTCGAAAAGCACTGGACTCCTAACTGCACGGCGGGTGGTTTAAACCACAGTCCAGAAACCCGTCAGAGGGTTGCTGAGTCAGAACTGACTTGGTGGGAGTGATCGTTTCCATTTATTAAATAGCAGCACAAGATGAGAATAGTTATCCACATGAATGACATTAATCACCAAGATGAGTTTCTTTAATTATACTTTGTCCCATGCATGTTAAGATACATTTTAGAAACATTTCTTTCAAAAGTAGCTCAAAGTAGAAAGCATATCGTTATTAAGTCTATTAATTATTTATGTAGATGACCAGATGACCTAATTACCTGATGGCCAGATGAAGTATTGGTATATTAAACAGTATTAAAAAAAATTTACTGAGTTATAATTAACATTTCAACACTTCAATAGTTCAATCACATCAAGAAGGGTTGTACAAATATCAACACAATCAACTTTTGGAACTTTACTTCCTGCATAATATATCTAAGGAAAAGCCTTAGTGATAGTCTATATTTCTGAAATTTACTTTCCTATCTCCATAAGGGCAGGATGTTTGTTCTGCTGACTAATGTACCTAAAGCATGTTGCTTGTGGTGAAGCCCAATCGATATTCAAGGCATGAACATGTCACATGATTTAAGACGGAGATCAATGTCGGTGATACAGGTTTCCTTTCAGATGACTCTGTAATCTTACTCGCACAGGGGATGTAAATTAAGATTTCTTAAGAGTTGAAAGTGTTCAAAACTAAGTTCTAATCATTTGGAAGGTAAACATATTTAGGGGAGTCAGGTGTAGGAGCAATAAAACTTACTTAGAACAATATTTAGTAAGAAAAAGTAGCCAAGAAGAAAAAAATGTTAATTTACCTTTTCCTGTAGATTTTTTTCAACTTGTGCCAACCTCTCAGAGGTCCTTGAGAGCTCGTCTTCTTTCACAATCAGTTGGCTCTTTTCTTGAGCCACTGTCTCCTGTTGCTTTTTGAGTTCATGTCCAAGAAATCTTAATTCTTCCTGGTTTTCAATAGTCTAGGATTAAGAATGAAAAAAATTGAGATTACAATAAACAATCCTAGCTTCAAAAAAAAAAAAAAAATCCTAGCTTCCCTATACAAAGTGAGGTAAAAATCAGCTTTACCTTACACTGCAAATGTAGAAACCAGAGGAAAGTGTGTAAGAAAAGGGTAACTAAAAAAAGTAAGTTCACTTCCTCGTAATAAATTTACAGACTCAACCAATGATCAAGATCACTGTAAACATACCATACATTTTTGTCCCAACTTAATTCTTCAATGTGTATGACTTATTGTCAGCAGTTACATGAACTGGCTGCCGATTGGCTACGTCTTTGAAGAAGGGAAAGGGACTCACGGTAGCTTCCATTTCTCGTATGCGTCCTGTAAGCTGGTCTCGCTCTTTTTCAAAGGACTCCTGCAATTCCTTCATATCGTTTCTTTCTCTGGTTAGAGATGTCACGGCCTCACTGCTTTCATTAAGTTTCTTAGTGAACTCAAGCTTCTCCATTTCTACATGTTCCAATGCTATTTTTGTGCTCTGTAGTTCATTCTTTAAATTCTCGGTTACAATTTTTAAAAGGGAGAAGATCAGGATACGTCATACAACCATTGATTAACTGTAAACCTACAGGGCCACTTCATGTCACCATTTCCTAT